TTATTGAGACAGTGGTCAAGAGTCAATTGTGACACATTATAAAGGAAATGAAAATACCTCTATCCTTGGCTATAATATTCAGTCCTTAATATGGAACAGATATGGCAATGATTGCACTAATTGATGAACTTTGTTGAACCTAACTGAAGATAGTGAGATTCTAGTCCTTTTAGATGCCCATGTACATTACTTATAGTGTTTAAGTTATATCAAATGATTAACCGATCAATATGCAGCTTTTCTGAAAAACAATTAAGAGTAGAGTTATTATTTACAGCATAAGAAAAAGCTTGTTAGGATTCAATCTTGTGATATTTCCATAGCAAAGTTAACTTACACTATGGGGATTCAGTATTCTTTTTAATTACATCTGTATTCACTGAAGAATTTGACTTCAAATTATGCATCAGCATAATACAATCACATCTATATGACTCATCAAGAATCTTTTAGAATACCTTCCAAGCAGCTACATTTACAGCACATTGGAATGAATTAACTGGGAAGTTACCAAACAATTATTACAAGGCTATTTCTCTCCAGGTAAGAGCATGGTTTGCATATCAGTCTGAGCTGATAAGGCCATTTTAGTCTCCAGTAATTGTGATGATGACTGGAATATCCATAGGCTATAAGCTAACCAATGGTAACCAATGCCATTTAAAGCTTGAATACTATTTAAACGTAGAAGAAACACCAAGAGCACCAAAAATAAAATGTGTCTTGTCTGGATTCTCAGTTTATTTTTGCTATCCTTCAATATATATATGCATATATGCATATCTTTCAAATATTTATTTTTGTCCAAATATTGGGTATTCTTCTATTGGTTAAGTACTGTATGTTGTGAAGGGTTTACTTCTCATTTATTGCTTGAATTCATTGTGGCTGTCATGTGTGATAAATGGGTTAGTGAACTCTGTGCCCCACCTTACATTGGCATGCACAAAGATAAATTAGTTCTGTACTTTGCTTTTTCATTTTTACCAAAGAGCACATTTCTCTTGTTTGAATCATATCTAAACCACCTTTTTCATCAATTCCACTATATATTGGAATGATCCTTACATCTTTAGACATTATCTGCCCTTTTTCAGTGTCATATAGCATTTGTTAATTCTAAGAATATTTATGCTGATTTTAAGATTAGCCAAGTATAAAGATGGCAGTGTTCGGATCAAATCCATCAGACTCTGGAATGTTCTACAAACAGAACCAAATGATATGAATTCACAGATGTTGACACAGAGAACCACTGTTACAAGTAAGCAAGCCATTCTATAACTTCAATGTCTATTAAATTCTCTGCATCATTCTCATGATGAAAACAGCATTTTTTATTTTAATTGACATTTTAAATGTTTAAAAAATAATTATGAGTGCTCATATTGTTAAAATTATGCATTTAGACTGATACACAATGTTGTACCGTAAAAGAGAACAGTTATTTTGTGATACTCTAATTACATTCAAAAGTCCACTGGTGTAGTTGACGTTTTTCTGATTCATTTAAGAACTATGCACAATTCTGGATCTTTGCAGCAATTGAATCAGTCAAATAATCTATAAACCAAATCAAAACTATTTTGCTTGGTCAAGGAATTTTGCTTATTGTTGTTTCTAGAATCATTTATGAATCCTTATTATACATAACATTTATTTATCAGAAAGTTACACAATCAACTAAAAGATCACAAGGAAATAAAGAATTTTTCATTTGTTGTAGAATGAATTAAATAGCTCAGAAATAGCTCTACATAAATTCTGGACATGATATACTCAAAAGGAGCATCTGGCTGAGATTTTCACACTTTCTGTTGGTATAATTACTTGGACAGGAAGCCAGACTAGATGGTGCATTGAGCTTCAATGTACTGTATGCATTTCTGATAAATGGGAAAAGAATAGATGACCTGGCAGAAGGCTCAGACAATAACATGTGATTTACAGGACATAAATGCAGCTACTATAAGATTTATCTGACAGCCCACTACGATAGTGGACTGTTGACTACCCGAAGGAATGATTTCTAGTCTTGAATGTCTACTATTGAGTAGCCACACACATTATTTATTTATTAGATGTTTTGGGTTGAAACCATTTTTAAATGATGCACTTCACAATGCTTAGCAATAAATTTAGCGTTAAACTCTAGAGGGGAGGTAGTGTTATTGGAATATATGTCAGACTGAATTAGGATGAGCAAGCCAATGCTTTTATAAAGCAGCCTTGAATGTAACATGGATTCTTTCAAAAAATGATATTAATGTCAAGTAAGCAAGGACATTCTTCAGTTAATACTAAATGCAGAATCCCTTTATGTTGTTAAACAACATTGGTACTTGGCCTCAGAATGCAGTATCAATTAAAAATGTCCTGAGATATTTAGGACAAGTGTGGACATCTGATGGAGTTGACAAGGAGAATAAACAATAGTATTTCAAATAATTTGACATTTTGTGTATACTATGAAAAAAAAGAGCTAAGGCGCTCAGAGTATTCAGGAAATAAGTAGCAGCAAAATAATACCTGGATTTTTATTGCATTACAATAAACTTTTTTTTAAAAAAAAAATCAAAATTACTTTTAAAAATATCAGTATATTACTTTTAATATACTTTTTGTGCACAATTTGCATTTGTAAAACTTAATTTCTGCATGATTACAGAAAATAATTTTAATAATAACATATCATGATAGAAATTAATCATAGCAGTGCTTTAATGTGACATTATGTCTGCCAATCCATAAAATTTTAAAATCACATTTACAGATGCTTATGTTTAACTGTATTGTATTATTTATGTGATTAAATCTAGTTTCTGACCTGATCTTTCGATCTTTGGCCCCTCTATCCTCTCCATCTCTTCTTAAAAAATAATTAAAATTTTAGCAAGAGGGTCACTTCATTTTCCATCTTATCCTAGTCCCACAAAGAGAAAAAATCAATCAAGCTCAACCCCATGCCTTCACAGTATCTGTAAAATGTCTGGCTGAAATTCAATTTTGTATCTCTCAGACTTCCTACGGCAACACAGTTTATCTCTTAAGAAATAGATAATTTCTGTGATTGCAATACTAACCTCTCTAAATTAGAAAAATACAGAGAAAAAATATGTAATTATCACCCAAGTTTAAATTTTTATACTTCTAAGTTCCTTTCAGTTTCATTTCTTAAGACTATTTTTTGTGTTATAGTTATTCTTTTCAATCAGGATATCATTTTTAGTTACTGAATTGGCTTTTTCAACTATTTAATAAAAAACAATGTATTTCACTGTTATCCTCTCAATTAATTCATTACCATATTCTATTCAATAACAGGACATAAACAATATGAATAAAAAATAGAGACACTAGAGTATATCATTCATTCCTCTTTGAATCGGAGTATTGAAGTAATTTTGATACATGTAATTCTCATATGTATTCATAGTTATGTATATTTTATATTAGTGCATGTGATATGTTTGTGTATTGTGTGTGTTGAGCAATAAAGTTCTAACTATTTTCTCAATTAATAGTACTTTTACATGTTTATCACCGTTTCAAAGAAAGTATTAAGCAAATAAAGTTCCTTCCTTTTCAAAAATCATTATTTTAAAATATGCTGTCTTGGAAATCTATCTATCTATCTATCTATCTATCTATCTATCTATCTATCTATCTATCTATCTATCTATCTATCTATCTATCCATCTAATCTATCTATCCATCCCTACCTAAAATTATCCAATGCTTATGTGCATTTCTAGAAAAAATTCAAACAACCCTAACATGTTTGAGTGCATTCCTGAATAACAGACTCACTAGAAACAAAACTATTCTTCACTAGTTCATTGTAAAAATCCATTAGCTGTAATCTCCAAAAGTAATTGTTTTTATTGCACTTTATTGTCGATGCAAGTTATTGATTTTTCACACCTTCTATGATTCTTTCATTTGTATTCATGAAATGTCTATCAGCACAGACTAAATACATTTGGCAATACAGGCACTAAAACAAATAAATCAATGTAAAAAAAACATTAATTTTGCATTAACCTTATTCGTCAGGCAAGTAAACCATAAGGGCTTTAAATGAAGGTCAAAGGTTCTGAAATGGGTCAAAACCCTTGACCTCTAGACCAATAACATTCCCATTAAAAAAAGCTATTTTAAAGTTTTAAGTAGGGGAATTTACTATCAGTAAAGATGTGATTTTTAAAAGCCAAAACAAAAAAGCTTAATAAAAACTTTCCATATAATGATGAAGAAAAATGGGAGAGGAATAAACTATTGTTATTTGATCTATTACATATTATAATTCGTTGACATATCTAATTTTTTAGATTATATTTTTTGTAAATCACAATTAATTGCAATACCACTTTCTACAATAGTAAAAAATATGAAGTTGCATTTTACATTTCTCATCAAACCTATGTCAAGAGCAATTAGCATGAGGCCTCATGTATTTTAAATCCTTTTTAAAAAGGCAAAGATCAAATCCCATTAATTCTAATGCAGCTATATTATTTTACATTAAATATTAAAGTCCATAGTTTAGTCTTTTTCTTTTTAAATATGTTATTGGGTAAAAATGCCTCTTATTAAAATAATATATAACACAATAAATCACAAAAATTTAAGGCAGTATCTATCTTGATCACATTGGATAACATAATATTGTTAATATATTGTTTTATATACTAGGGATCTTTTCTAGTTTTTTCTAGAACTTCTGTTATTTCCAGGCAGCACAGCCATTGGCTTGGAGCTGGGGAATGTAAAATATAATGGACACCAAATTGCAGCTACCTCTGCTGGTGTTCTGAATCTCTCAAAGAGCTTTTGTAATCAGGTTTGTTTGAGAAATGCCACAATGATGATGTTGTTTAGGCTTTTATCATTGAAGGAGAAAGAAAGACAGAAGCTCTAAAACTAAATGTTTTTTGATTGCTAGTTTGCTTGCTTGTTTTATTGGCAATACTAGCTGTTTAAAGTCAGCTGAAACCTACCTGAGAACAAAGCAGCATGACCAATTCCACAACTGAACTGCTAGATTTCATACATACAAGACCTAAAGGAAAAAAGAAATGGAATTACATACTTTGATTGACTTTAGTTTCATATATTTAATATACAATATTGGCATTTTATTATATAATAAATGTTCTATTTGAGATTTCATAGTATTATCCCGATGCTGTAGAATGATTCTCATTTAATACAAGAAACCTCACATATTCATTGTTTTATCCAAATATTTATGTCAATAGAATATATATTTAAATATATACACTAATTTCATTACTGCAATGCATAATTTTAATATAAAATGATGACCTGAAGCTGTTTAATTGGCATTACATAAATATTAGGGTTTCAAGTTAATAAAAGTAAGTATGGCATATTGTATATTGATTTATAATATTACATTTCTTCACCTTGGAATGGATTGATCATTATATATGCAGAGAAGGGAAATGGTTCTGTGACCTTTGCTTTCTCCATTGAGCTCTCTCCCTTCAGCCCTCCAGCTATCAATCAAGTTTCCATTTTGTTTCATGGCAGCAGACATCCCAAGCACTCTTATTAGTACTTTGACCCTTGACCCCCACCTAAACCTTAAGGAGGTGGAGAGCACAAGAGTAACCTATACATTTATAAACTAATTTGGTTATTAATATCAGTTCGCACTTCATGCTATTTCCCCAGCATAAAATGAAAACATGTTATCCTAAATGCCCTAAAATGGTGGCATTCCTTTCAGTAATCAATGTTTCACTATGCCAAGTTTAATTCTGTTTGTCTTTGGCTTAATTACACTGAAAAAAAACCTACTAAGCCAATAATATCATGCATTTAATATATTACAAAAATAGACAGACTAGCTAAGTTTCTATATACAATTGGATACAACATAATGTATACATATGATAAACAGTTTATTTATGTATTCATTGAATTTAAGAATCATTCCACTAAATAATGCACTTAATAATAAATTATCAAATTCTTTAAAAATCATAAATTTGTAATGTATGCTAAATATTTCCCTGGATTCACCATTTAGCTTGCTCAGTTTATATGACCTTTTATAATGGCATTTTTAAAGTACACTAATACTGAAAGCAGAATCTCTAAATTTTCTGGTGTATTTCCTAAAAGTCTGTAAGCATGTCACTAAGCTATCACATTTCTACTAACCAGAATTGAAAATGTCCCAAAATCTAATTTCTAACAGAACTTTTTATCACCATTTTTAGTTTTTACCATTTAGAACATTTTATAAACTTTTTAATAGATTTGCATTTGGCTTGAGATGTTCTCCTCTGAAATAAGAGGAAACACCCATATTTCTGGAAATGTAATAGCACAATAGCTGATACCATCCACTGTATCCCCATTAAAATCTATCTTCACATATTTATATTACTAAACAATTATACAACCTGGACTTTTAAATGAAAAATGGGCAACAAATAGGAATGAAAATATATACAATATTCTTATATGATAAATCTGTGAGCAACAAACCTTTTAAATGCAGTTGTCTGATCCATACATCATTTGTACCTCCTAATACTTGAATTCTATACAACAAAAGCCACCATCTGCCTGTTCTTCTATTTGCTAAATCTTTCTGTAAATCAGTTTCAGATGTTCAAGGTTACTATGCATTTCCTGTGTTGTTTCTCTAGAAACTGCCTTGCCCTCTCACAATTTGAAGTACTTTCCTGAAATTATACATAGTTGTCTTTATTCTTTCAATACTATAATTACTTAATGATACTTTTTATAATCAAAAGTAATAATATAATAGTTTAATAAACCTACTCAAGTTTCTAAACCTGATATACCCAGGTGATTATATTTTACAATGACTCTTATATCATCCTAGCATTTTGTTGCTCAACTAACAATAAAATTATCCTGTTTAACAGTGTAACAAAAAAGTCATGAAATGCTGGAAGGCACTTTGCTATTTCAGAAAGAGAAGAATCTAATTTATGTTTATTACAATGACAAAGTAACATCAAATAAATAGAGTGATCAACAAAAATTAAAATTTACAGTTGAATCAATACAAATGTTCAGAGTAGATGCCCAAGTAAGAACGAAGGTGGCAGTCGTGGCTAAGAGCAGGAGTCCCCAACTCCTGGTCTGTGGACCGGCACTGGTCCACAGCATGCCAGCAACCAGGCCGCATAAACAAGCGAAGCCCCATTCGCGGGATGCAGGCAGTTCGAAAACCATACCCCCTCTGGTCTGTTAAAAAACCTTTCCCCATGGCACCGGTTTCTGGTGCCCGAAAAGTTGGGGACTTCTGGCCAAGAGGACTTTTGCTAAACTTCACCTTTTCCCCCAGTTATACCCTTTCCTGCATCAAGAAGCCCTTCTTCTTTCAGTCACTCATACCCTGGTCATCACCTATATGAACTATTGCAATGGGGCTACCCTTGAAGAGCATCCAAAGTTGTAACTGGTGCAGAACGTGGCAGTGTAAGAAGTTTTGGACACCCCAGGGTTGCGCATGTAACATCTCTACTATGTGAGCTGTACCAAGTGCCAGTTTGCTTCCAGCTCCAATTCAAGACATTAGTTATCATCTTTAAAGCCCTTCATGGCATGGGACTAAGTTACCTAAGGAACCATCTCATACTAATTACATTGTCCCATTCCACCTGGTCAGGCAGGGAGGGTATGTTGCGAATGCTGTTGGATAAAGAATTCTTACTAATGGGATCCTGGAAGATAGCCTTCTCTGCCATTGCTCCTGGTCTTTGCAACATCTCACCCCCAGATGAGAGGCAGCCTCCCCTCTTCTGACCTTCAGATAGAGTGTGAAAACTTGATTCTGCCAACTGGCATGGGGTTGGACAATGCTGTGTGACTGTGGGGGTACTAATAACAGACTAACAGAATTTGAAGGGAGCTTGGAGGTCTTCTAGTCCAACTCCCTGCTCAAGCAGGAAACCCTATACCATTTCCGACAAATGGTTGTTCAATCTTTTCTTAAAAACTTCCAGTGTTGGAGCATTCACAACTTCTGGAGGCAAGTTGTTCCATTGATAGTTCTAATTGTCAGGAAGTTTCTCCTTAGTTCTAGGTTGCTTCTCTCCTTAATTAGTTTCCATCCATTGCTTCCTGTCTTGCCTTCAGGTGCTTTGGAGAATAGGTTGACTGCCTCTTCTTTGTAGCAACCCCTTAGATATTGGAACACTACTATCATGTCACCCCTAGTCTTTCTTTTCATGAGTCGTAGGTGCTTTTCTGCCTTTTTAACTCTAACTTTTAATATTTTCATCAAGTGTTTTATTTATGTCTTTAACTTTGTTCTTTATGTTTTATATTGTGAATTGTTTGTGGTATTATAAACTGCGCAGAGCCACTTAGGTGAGATGGGTGGGATAGAAATGTAATGAATAAACAAAGAAATAAAAATGTTGGACAGTGTTTACTGAAGCTAACAAAATACTGAAGCCACACAATGTTTTTATAAACCACTGAAAATCACTGAAAAAAAACTACATATTAAAAATGCACAGATTCAGCATTTCATAAAAACACTTCATGGCTTCAGAAATTTTCGGCTTCAGGAAGGAGAACTCTGTCTGATGTTTTTAACATGAGGCAGTTCATCGTTAAGTATTGGTTGTCCATAAATCGGACATTCTTAACTCAGAAATGCCTGTATGGAACTGTAGGATATTCTAAGGGAAAATAAAGAAAAAAAATATATAGTTGATTATAAAGATAGGTAAAATGGACAGATGAATAGGAAAAGTGGCCAAGCAATATGCAAAACAATAATAAATATTGAATAGAATATGAGGGCTGTTGCTAGTACAGTCCCCCACATGTATACTGAATCATCTTGTGTCTTTTTAACTCTAATTATATGAGCTGGAAGTAATCTTAAAATAAACACTAAATAGTTTGATAGCAATACTCAGCTATTAACATTATTTCAATAATTTATTCAATATAAATAATTTTAAATTTTAAATTAGCTTCCAATGTCAAATATTTAGTTCTTATAAAAGCATAAAAAGGGGAAACTTACTTGTACCTTCTATCAGTAGTTCTTGACCATGACTACCCAAGAGGGTACGCGAAAGAAAAGGAGCAAAGTCCACAAATATCTCCCTCAGAAGAGGGGCAGCTTTTTCCAAAGCATGCTCAAGCCTCTCTGAAATACTAAGAGATGTACAAGTTCAATGAAAAATATAATTTAAAAAGCAAAAATTCTCTAAGGAGAAAAGCAATCGGCAAAAGTACAAAATACATCAACAAAAGTCAACAAGTCAATGGCTAAACACACTGAGTTTAGTTACTATTTAAACGGAAATAGCAGTGATAGAAATCCAAAACTTCCTATCAGCCTCAAATGAAAGAGCACAATCCAGTCAGAAGTGTAGAGTGAATTCCATATTACTTAAATAAATTGGAATATGATATAACCTGCTGGAAGAAACTTAAAAGTTACCTCATGTTTGAAGCAGAATCCTCAGGCACAGAAGAAAGTGTAGGAACAGATGGTAATCTTGAATCTGATGATCCATTGCCTACCAAAGAGATTTTTAAGAGTTCAAATAGCTGTAAATATACGAAACTATCTTTAATCAAAGCCCATGCTAATTCAGTACTTTCTACTCTGACTGGAGCAGTTCACTTTAGCTCCAAGATCTTTACTAGGGCCACTGTCTTTGAACTTTTTAACTGAAAATGTTGCTGACTAAAAAATTAATCCTACCTCTATTCCCATATGAAGTAGACATAACTAGTGGACACACCTGTATTTAAATTTACAGCTGCCAAAACATTTATGTGTGGGACATATTAAAGGTTATATTTCTTTTCACACTTCTAATTTTTTATGCAATTTATCCTAATTCTACAGTTTTACAATGCTAGTTGATTTGTGACACAATAGTTCTGAATTCAAAGCAGGAGTATCAATACAGAGTAATTCACGTATAATTCAGCAAATACTGACTTGCACTCTACTTTATCATCGTCAGCATACTTCATTCATATTGTTCTTGGAATCTTGGAAAAAGATAGCTCGAATCCTTAAATACCTGGATAACATTCAAATTATTCCCTGTATTGCTTTTGGGAAATTCTCATTACCAAAGTTATCCATTACCAAAGAGGCACCAATTAAAACTTGTTTTTAACGTTTTCAGACTAGGAAAAGAGAGAATAAAAAGAACAAAAAGCTCTGTTGTTTTTCTTCCTCTACTTCGATTAAGATATGTATGTTTTACATTAACAGTGTGTCTCTACTCTTTAAAACTTGCCCACTTCTAAGAAACAGTGTTCACACTTGCCAAAATCTGGTTATTAAAAGTTATAATATAGAGATGATGAAAAGCTGCTATAGCTTAAAATACAACTGTGCAATTCTATCGAGCCCTGGAACTATAGAGTATCCCCATTCTTGATTAATAGATATACAAGATATAAAAAGTGTTTTTGTTAACTATACAGAAGGTCTTCCATGTTTCTATTGTTCTATCAGAATATATCAGAGACCTCATATTGACAGCTATGTTTCTTAACCAATAAAGTGCTATCTAAAATGATTGAAACCAGGTGAAATATTTCAAAAATTTCTTTATTCAAAATAGTTAATTTCACTAACTCATTTTACAATTTGAGAAATTAACACTGAAGCTAATTTCAGACTTGTGTCAGTCTTGCAAGGTTGCTCATGTGTACCCATTATATTTTATTGTAAGGTTATATTAATAGAATCTTGAAAAAGTAAAGCTATATTAAACTATGTTCCAAAAATTTTGAATATCTCAAAATATGAGAACTTTGGATTTATCATGCATTTTTCATGTTTTTTCCTTAACTTCTGTAATTTGTTTTTAAACCATTTTAAAAATGAATATCTGCACGGAAACCTAGGGTATATTGTTAATTATGATATCCCGTATTATAAGAAATTTGCAATTGTAAATTGTAATACAGAATCTATGATAAAAAAATGTTAGAGAATTCTGTAATATATGATCTAAAGAAGCAAAATATAGCAGCATTGCATGTATATTTGTACATATATTTTTGTGTGTGTCTGTGTGAAAAATAATTATTTTTTTCCATAATATTTATATTTAAAAAAATAAACTTACATCTATGACAAAGTTCAGGAGCCGAAGAAAGGTAAGCACACAAGCTAAAAATCTATTATAATAAATGTTCTTCCTTTTAAGTTGCTACTAACTCTGATCCTTCGGGATGTGGCAAGCTATAAATCTAACAGGACAATATTAAGTTATTTGAGATATCAGCTCCTGATGTTGGACATTCAGAGTCAGCAACAGAGTTTTTGGTTACCCTAACTGAAGAGCTTAGTTTATGATGAAAAAGTTGGCTGGGTGCCCAGATAAAATGAAGTTTTATTGCAGCACAAGCTACTTCAAATCACATTTTCCATACTGCTAGAATCAGTAGAATGTAAATAGCAGTGCAGCACATCTGTTGGGCTAATGCCTGCCTTAGAAAGGAGAAGCAATTCCATATAGCAGTTCCACTCCAAACTTAATTAACTAGTCAGAAAAAGACTGTATGTAGTGCACGTTTAAAAAATTACTTGGTCAGCTGACAGGTTTAAAACAACTGTGCAACTTAATATGAATAAGATAAAACCTAAAGCTAAATATATACAAAATGCCACACAAAATTGAACCTCAAATTTTACATTTCCTATATACAGTATATGAGACAGTGCTAAAAACCCAACCAATTTCTTAACACATTTAGATTTCAGACTGTACCCTTTAGGGTAAAAAACATCAAAGAGGTTCTGTAGATTAAAATGCCATTTAAGGCTTATAACTTCAGCACTGATAAAAAATAGTCTCAAAGAATATATTAGATTAAAGATTATGAAAGCACAAAAATGTCAGTTAGGCATTGCTCTGCAAGTGTTTCCAAAGCACTACATCATATAAATCTTATTTAGATAAATGTACTAAATGTACTTCCAGCTGAGTTTTCATTTTAAAATGGCTTTTATTCATTTAAGGGAAGAGAGATCTTTCAGAAGCATGTTTTCTTCTAAAGCAGACATGCAAGTAACTGTGGTAGCTACTTCAAACAAGTGGAACCCAAGTGGCTTATCTTTCTTATCCTTTCATTGATAAACTGGCTCCCTCAAACTGACAGTTTTACAGACATATGTAAGGACATAAAAGGAAATGCAAATAGATCATCTGTCTAGCACCCTTCTAGTGAAAGCTTATTGTTTATCCAAGGTCCCCAAGGGTCCAAACAAATAATGTCTCTGGCAATAAACTGATCTTAAGAGAAGGGGTTGTTCCCAAAACACCTGCATGTCTGAATGTATATGTGCAAACAAAGGTCTCACCTAACTACTAGCTTAATGACAAAGTAACAGCTATGAGACAGATTTTATTTCTCCTTTCTTTAGTAACAAAGAATTTCTTTTTACAGGGAATATTTAGTTGGCTAAAGAAATATTTTGGATATAAAAACATAGAAAAAGAGAGATTAAAAAAGTAAATCTCAAGTTATCTGTTGCTATTTTAAAATATAAGAGTGAATTAATTCACTTACTGCAAAATTTAAATATTATGCATCTTCTTTACAATAATTACCCGATGCCCTCTTTAGGACTTAAAAATAAATCTTGTCCACTATCCTAAACAGCCTCTCTGCAGGATTATTTCCTATTTCAAATCTACATGAATATCATCTCAATAGTTGAATGAAGGTATTTAAATAATTCATGCATAAGGATAACAATGGGCAAGTAAAATAATCTCTAGAGAATCATTCTAAACCAAGGTTTCATACAAATAAAAAGATAGAGAGCATACTATTTTCTTTCATCAGCCACTAAATCATCAAAATAGATATTGCAATATATATAAAATAAATAAATGAACTTCAATTTCAGCTTTGTTTATAGTATCAAATAATTTTATTGGGAACTAATCAGAGTTAGTTTGCTTCAGAGGTTAAGGAATCAGGCTAGAAACAGGGAGACTGTGACTACTGCTTTCACCTTAGGCATAAAGCTAATTGGGTGACATTGGTCCAATCATTCTCTCAGCCCTAGAAAGGAGGCAATGTAAACTATTTCTGAAAAACTTTGCCAGGAAAACTGCAGGGACTTGTCCAATCAGTCTCTGAGAATTGGACACGATTGTATGAAGGAAAAAGCAACCATAGGTGACTACTGCATTTAGTATAGAATTCTGCTGGAAGGGAGAATATTATAATCCAAGGCAGAATATTTTCATATTATACTGTATGTTTAGGGAAGATCCAGGACCACAAATGAAAACCAATGGCTATTCTCACTTTATGTGTAGTATTAAAAGCTATTTATATGATAGGCTCGGAGTTCTTATTACTGGAAGTTCATATAACATCTTATTACTGGAAGTTCATATAACAATCTTTGCAGTAATGTCAGCACTTAAATTGGGGACATAATACTTACGCAAAAGTATTCTAAGAGCCAAATTTATAATAAATAAACAATTAAATAAAAAGTTAAAAAAGAGAAAAGATCAGTACTTAGGATTCTTTTGAGTATTTCTTAGCCAAGGAAACTCAACTTTGCAATTTCAGTTGGGTGGTATATGATGTCTCGGTAGCTGAATTACAAATATATATCATATTGCTTTGTTATTTTATTTTGCACAACTCATCTGCGTTCTCTCACTTACTTGGAGAGCTTCCATTTACATCTGGGGCTTGGGAAGAATCCAGAGAAGAAACCACACTAACAGCATTTGTAGGCACGTTAATTGTGGCTGCAGATGAACTCACTGACTTCTTTGGGGCCACAACCACACTCCTAGGACAGAAAAGAAGTGTTGCAAACTATATTTTAAATGCTTGTGAATGACCAAATGTATATTTAAAATATATAACAAACTCAGAGTTATGCAAAGTAGTCAAGTTTGAAATCCAGATATTACATCTCTTTTCTCAGAATTGTCAAAATTTTATGTTCTAAGGATATCAAATTGTTATTAAAAATCTGCTAATCTTTAAAGATACCCCCAAAACACATTCTGATTTTGCCCTTTTATGTCAACACTTTATATTATTTCTAACGAAAACTATACAAAAGTAGTTTTAAGCAAAGTAGTCATCACTGGAATCACTATATTTAAAATAAAGTAGACATTTGCACAAGAGTTTAAATAAGTTGAAGATTACTTAAGCAGAAGTTTAAAATTAAAATAAACTGGACCAATATATGTTTTTAACTTTATAAATAAGTTACTATAGAAATGACCTATGAAATTAGTGCTCTAGCTTAAATATTCAGAAATATTCAAAACTGAATATAGTCCATGTTTCAGACATCATTTATATTAGAAAGAATAATTGTGGCAAACCAATTTCAATTAAATAGTAATGTTTTATTCCAAACATCTAAAATATCCAGTTAACCATACGTAAAAGACACTTTTAATTGCAAGTTAGCTCCATAAACATGCAATATCCCTGTTAATGAGCTAAGGAATACAGTTGATATATATTATGGACTCCCAAAGCAGTGCTTCTTTTTAATTACCTGGTGTTAACTATAAGCCAAAAGTCTTCAACATTCAATTTATTTAATCAATTTATTCTGTTGACAGTACTGTTAAGTAGTGGTAGAAAGTATTCCCTTAATAGCATTAAAAATATGTCGTTTGTAAATAAAACACATTAACACTGACTCCAAATTCAGATATATAATGTAGAAATGTTCTAGCAGCTTATAAATTTATTAAAAAGATATCCTTATTTCTTCCCATTTTAAGTTGCACTGATTGCTGTAACTAAACTGGGCTTGATTAGACATTCTGAACACTATGAATGAATAGGTATTCACCATGGATGTTATAGTATGGATTGAATTATTACAAGGGTGATTGCTAATGTTAACTATACATTAAAATATGGAAGCAAAAGCCACCTGAGCCCCAGACCAAGGAATTAAGCCATAAATGTAGATATTTTCCACATGCACATAAACTTGCACAAAAACTGAATTAGGTTATAAATTCATTTATCAGAATGATCTTTGATTTTCAATTTAAAAACAATTTAAGATTAAAGACTATCGATTTTAGATGTATGCTACGTTTTTTTATTAATTTTTTGATTAATTATGATTAATATTTTAATTTTGAATGGTCAGGGATAATACTTAATAATGCCCCCAAAAATACAGAAATTTATTTTTGCTACATCATTTTGCTACGTAGAAAAAATACAGTATTTTTGCTACATCATATCAAAAGTTAAAAGTTAAGATATTGTGAGTATGTGATCAGCAATTATCATTGTACTTTGCCATGGATTCTGAATCATTTATTTGTAGTAAGGATGCAGTAGTGTTCTTCAATGAAAGAAAAATGTTTTCTTTTTCATCCTGTAGAAACTGTATGCATTGGTAGATGCATGAATGAAAAGAAGATAATTTGTTGGATTATGTCTTTAAGAGATACATGTATCCATGTGAGTGTAGGAATATTTGGAACCCTGCAAGCTCTACTTAGCATCCCAAGTCAGGCAGTTGTTCATTAATTAACAGATATGAACCCATTATTAAGCAACTGAATATTATAAAACAAAAAACAAAGGGACTTTTAGGCTCTGTGGCTCTGGGAATTCTTTTGGCTTTTTTTTTTCAAAGCTGAAGCCTAGCCCAGCCTGGTCACGCATCCAGGACTAACATGCAATGGGAGCAAGAAGATGACGAAGGTTACCTGGGATAGTGAGTGCAGGCCAAAAGGCTTATATGGGGGTAGATAGGCAGATGGGAGAGTTTGAAACACCACTGTGGCCATAAGTGTGGGCAGGTTGCCAAGTGCCCACTTTTAAGCCAATAATTAAAACGCAACACTTACATTATTTATTTCATCTATTTTTTCAAAACTGATGACTAGTGAAGAAATACATTCTCATAATTCAGTTAATTTGCATATTTGAGAGACTAATGAGCTCATGTATTAGAAGGATAAATATATAAGCATGCTTACATAAAATCACTGGAAAAACTCTGAAATACCTTAAAAATAGGAAAAAGTTTGCCTTCAAATCTAATTTTCACTGCAAAGAACAACTATTTCTACTACTTTCTTTTTTAAATGACTGAAAAATGTAAGATCATATTTCAGTACTTTTAATAGCTATACCACAAATAACTTTGCTTAGTTTATTTTATTCAACAGGACATTAGATAATTTCCAACATTTCTACTGTAAAAAAATGAAATAAAATAGTATTTTGGCTCCTGGAAGATTATAGAAAATAAATACTGCAAATAGTCTGCCAATTCACTGTCTCTACTTCCTTAATGAAAAAGCCAGACCAGGCCTTGAACTTTTATCAAGATAGATCCCTGGCACCCACTAATCACCAGGTTGGATCTCCATGTAAGATAAAAGAGTAGTTTTGGGTATGGGAATAAGCACACATCATCTTGTTTGCAAAAATCCACAACCTGCCAGCCTTTCAGCTAGGTCTCACTCACGTAGCTGTTACTGTATATTCTCCAGCAATGGCTGAAAAGTTGATAATCCTTAAAATATGAGGAGAGTTTTGATTTCTGACACAACATTCCTGAGATAAATGTAGGATCAGAGAGATGCTTTGAAATTCCCAGATACTTTTCTGTAAAACTGCTACATAGGAAAAAAAAATTAACAAGATTTCTTCCCCCAACCCCAAAAGTTAATTCACAAAGCCCTGTATCCCACATTAGACAATACGTTAAATATAAACCAGATACACTTAAGTTCCTTAGAGCATCCTGACTCTTGCTCCAAGTTTCCAATTGTAACGTTAGAATTGTGATGTCCCTGGAGATAAAACCCAGCTCGTTTCCTGAACAACAGGTCATAACCCATTCTACCTACAATCAACCTAAAACTGTAGCACATGCGCGTGCGCATACACACACACACACACAGAAATAAATAAATAAATCTGGGGAAAAAATGGGAGCAGACAATGGAACAAGTTTCTATCATATGTTAAAATCTTACAAGAAAATCAATTTTACGAAGTGCTGGTTTTAGTTTTTGCCCCTTTAATGCAGCAACATTATATTTTGTATTCACTAATCCATTCAAATTAATTTTGATCACTTTCTTCAATCTGCATAATAATTGGAAATTTAGAAGCTAAGTAAGCAAAGTTGTATTCCTGTATAAAGCCAAGAATATAGTTTATTTTAATGAAACCTAGTTTATTTTAGCTCGAATGAATAAATTTGAACATCGAGCATTAAAAAAACAACTTTAGTCATGCAAAGATTTTCTCTTGTTTTATGGTTATTTTTCCTTTCACAAACACTGCATGTACACAGTTCATTCACTGTATCTATGAGACAATATGATAGTAACTAATTTTTATTTTATGTATTAAATTTATATGCCGCCCATCTCACTAATGCAGGGGTCTCCAACCCCCAGTCCATGGACCAGTACTGGGCCGCGGCAGGCCAGCAACCGGTTCACACAAACAAGCAAAGCCCCATCCAAATAATTTTTACTGTTATTCTATGATTGCTTTACTTAAAAGATGGCAATATTTCTTAAGTATATCTTGGTGATTTGGATTCTAAAATTATTTATTAAATAATCTTTACTATGTAGCACATATTGCTAATTAATAATTTAACATTTTTATGTGTTTTATCTTTACGTTACAGGTAGTCCTCAACTTATAACCATTCATTTAGTGACAGTTTAGAGTTACAACAATTCTGAAAAAGTGACTTATGACCGTTTTTTACACCTATGACTCTTGCAGCATCCCCATGGTTAGGTGATAAAAGTTCAGATACTTGGCAACTGATTCATATTTATGAGGCTGCAATGTCCTGGGGTCATGTGGTCATGTTTGCAATCTTCTGACAAGCAAAGTCAATGGGGAAGCCAGATTCACTTAACAACCGTGTTACCAATTTAACAACTGCAGTGATTCACTTAAGAACTGTGGCAAGAAAGATCATAAAATGGGACAAAATTCACTGAACAACTGTCTCACCTAGCAACCAAATTTTTGGGCTCAATTGCAGTCATAAATCGAGGACTGTCTATACTATACTTTTAGATTTATGAAATATATTTGCAGATATGCACATTTCAGGGAAAATATTAAAAAAATTAAAAAGTTATTTTCTGTCATTTTATATAGGTCAATCATCCTTACCTGTCAAAAGATTGAAATTGTATTGGTTGTGCAGAGGCACCATCACCAAGGACTCCAAGAAAAACAGGTGGAAGAACAGCAGGGTCCACCGTGGCCCCATCTGCAGGAGCACTGACCAAACTTCTTAGGATGTCTTTTACATTGACATTTTTTGCAGTTTGCATAGAGGGTGCAGTTTTACCATCTACCTCATTATGTACTTCATTTTTACTTTCTTGAGATTTATTAACTTCTGAAGAAAGAGTACACAATATTTCACTGATTGCATCTGGACCTGTACTTATACTCTGTCTTTCTGATTCAGTAACCTTCTCAGAATTGTGTCCTGATCCAGAATGTGCTTTCTCCTGAATTCCCGAATCCGTTCTTTGTGGAGACACCACGCTTTCTGACTCCTTGGCAGGTTCCTGACTTAAAATGGTAATAGCTTCAGATTGTTCTTCCTTATCTTGAGAAATAAATAATATATAGTATAAAACATCAGAATGTTTAAAAGTGATGAGATTATTTTATAAACAACTGCTATCTTAACAAAAATTATAACAAATACCTGTTCTTAAAGTTTCCCATTCTTAATTCATCATATAGACAATACTAGAGGTTACTGTAACTAAGAATTCCAAATTGATTCTAAGCTTGAGCAATTTAAATTACATTGCATTTATAATACTTATGGGGTCTCTTTACTTACTCAGCTATCAGAAAGTAGGGCTGAAAAGGAACTGATTATGTAGATAAGCTACAGCTTGTCAAAAAAGAACACAGTGAATCTAGAAAACATTTAAGGCTATAATGTACAGAATATCAGGTCTGCTATAACTGCTGGAAAATTGTTTCAGATTCCGACCAATCTTGCTATTCTTATAAAGTTAATTTCCAGCAGAATCATCCTATTTGGGAAGTATGTCGATGGCTTCTACATCTCTTTCCTGCCATCTAGTAATTATCTGGAACTCTGCAACTTTGAATCTTCCAGTCATACAAACCATACAAGCAAAAACAGCAGGACTCTTTACTTACAAGCAAAAACTTACTAATAAATCAATGCAAAAATCTGTCTATTCCAATCTATTTATCTACTTGACATGATCAATTTATCCTTCAGCTAAACACATTGTTGCACTTGAACTTAAACTGCATTTCTTAAAGTATGATTATAATTTATATCAAAGTATGAACATAAGATATCATCCAATTAATTTCCAAAGGACATTGATCCTATTTTGTGTTTATTACTAATATATTTTATCTATTAAACTTGCATTAAACCAATGAAATATTAAAAATAATGTTCTGGACAGTAAGCAAAAACTTGTTTAAAAAATAAACTTTGGATGATCAGTTCCAAGAATCTCTGAGGTTTAATAAACTAACTTCATATTTAGAAGTAATAATCAGAAGTTTTTGATATCAATTTTCAAGTGGCAGATTAAATGTAATCTTTCAATTCACATTTTTAAAGTGCACATATGAAAGTCTATGTTACTAATATCATTTTTCATAATCAAAACAAGTATCATAGATCAATGAATTATTCAGAATATTAACAAAGATTATTTTGAATAGAACCTAATGGCCTGCTAATGTTTTTAAGAGTATTCCCCATCTCAGCAATGGTAAGATGTGTGGATTTCAATTCCCAGTTTGAATTCTCCAGTAAGCATGGCAAATGCTAAGAATTCTAGGAATTGAAGACACATGTCTTCAGGTTGCGGAAATTTATAATGTTATGAATATCATACTCTGATCAATAAAGTATATTTCCAGGTGCCTACAATACTAACCTATTTTGGGTGACTGAGTAGGTTGAAATTGCCTCCGTTCATCTTGAGGTTCCAAGATATCTCTGTATTTTGATACCATGAGTACAGAGATAAAATACACTACAGCCAAAGCCAAGAACTGTGCTTGCTTACTGTCCTCCTAAAAAACCAAAAACATATAGAAATTATTTTATTGTCATACACTAAGACCTGAATTACATATTACTATCACAAAATAATTTCCTCAAGGAAATTACATTAAAAAATCTACAAGAATTTATTTATTAGGGCTGTGTGAATCACATGGAGTGATTCTTTGGGAAGCAAAGTATTCTTTCAAATCTGTTGCTTGACAAAACAGCTTACCACAACTGTTTCAAAGAGCTCCCCACAATATGTTATGATGAGTATATAAGAAAAGACTCTTTACCAGGGCTAGCAGTGGAATTCAGAGGATCTCTTTTAAAATTTGCAGAAGCACGTTTAGAACTCTGCATTTTTATTCACTTAATGCTGGACTAAATCCTGATCTTTGCTAATCGCATATGTTGATAAAATAGCAGAACATTTTGTTTTATAATTTTGAATATTGTGTTACACAGAGATTTCCTCTCATGTAGAAACATTCTAATCTAGGCAATTGATATTATTCTAGTTTTATATTTGAATGAAGTAAAACATCTACAACTTCAGAATTCTATTGACACTGGGAAATATTCTACTGCCATTCTATTGACATCTATTGGTGATGTACTAAAAATTATTTGAACTCATTCCAGTCCTATTTTTTAAATAGAAAGAACTTGTGTTGTCCTGATGGCTCAACTATTCTAGGAACACAGTGATAACATTCTGGTCTTTAATACATTCCAATTAAAAAAAATATTCACAAAATTGAAGCTACCTGCAGAAACAACTGTTAATACGAACTTAAGCTTTTTACATGATCTCAATTCCTGTTTTGCTATTTCCACAGTATTTTACAATTCTTGTACATATACTGTTAGATTTTGGTATTATGGAATGGTGCATAAGTTTAATAACTATACATGATTATTTTAAAAAAAGAAGTAAGTAGGAAAAATTGCTCACTATATCTCTGAATACCACTGCACGGAGCCGATTAATATCCATATCCTGTAGAAGTCTGTCAATGTCTCTTATTGGAGAAATCCCTCCAGTTACAATATCAACTGGACTCTGTTCAAAAGAAAAAGGGGGAAAATATTATTTCATTTTAAAGATTTATCTATAGATCTATTTATATCTAATGAAAAATCCGTTACATTGTAGTTTTTCAAATATTTATATAAGGTTTGAAAACTCTTGTGTTTGTGATCTTTAGCTGGGCAAAATGGTGCATCATGGGGCAAAATCTTGTCCACAAATGTACCTCAAATGGGCTAACCTACAGAATGCCACAATCCATTACTCCTGAGAAAATGAAATTTGGAGAAGTTAAAACTACTTCAGTAGCTCGGCTACTGCTATAGTCACACGATCCTCATTTTCAACATTCCACAGCAGCATCTCAACCACTCAATCCCTCATTTGTTCCCCCAGTGGAAGGAAGAAGGAAGAAAGGAAGAAACAGGAGGGAGGGAGGGAGGGAGGGAGGGAGGGAGGGAGGGAGGAAGGAAGGAAGGAAGGAAGGAAGGAAGGAAGGAAGGAAGGAAGGAAGGAAGGAAGGAAGGAAGATATCTGAGGTCACTGCCAGCTTCTCATAAATAAATTCAATGAGGAAGTCAGAAGGAAGTCAGAAGTTGCTCCAGTTCCCACTGATTTTTTGTCCACTCATGATCATTCTATTTTAGGTGGTAACATATCTGAAATGACTACACATGATCCTTATTTACAAGGTTCCCTAACACATTCTCATTCTCACAAGTCAGTGGAAAAGCCAGGGAAGCAGGGAAATTATGTGACTGTAGCTGATGGCAGGCACTGGGTTTGGACTTGCTACTTCATTCCTGGGAAGCTTGCAGGGGGAAAAGTCAATGGGAAATCTTGCAGGCAAGGTCACAAGTTGGTTGGGTAAGTCTCCCCAACCACACACTTTCTGCCAATCCCCTTGCACTCATGCCATGATGGGCAGCCTTAACTCAACAGATCATGGTTGCCTAGTATAAAGCAAAATTGTGAAAATAAACTAAAAGTATTTATGACTTACATTTGATACATATTTCTTTCTGAAAAGTGTCAGCATTTATATGTTATTACACTATATATACAATTTAAAATAAATGTCTAGATAATTAAACAACTATACTTGGTTTTTGATACCTATATTAATATTAAAAAGTCACATAAATGTATTCATCAGGATACAGAGGGGGAAAAAATCATCATTTGCCAGCATTGGCTTAAAAAACCCCACTTGCCTTTGCTCCAGTCCTTCCTGAGGCTATAAGGCTTTGTATTGTTTTCCGATGCTTAACATTTTCTCCACTAGGCTTCATTAACATATGCTGTTGCTGACATTCCAAACAATTTCTGACGGCTACCGCACATACTAAAATGAAAGGATATATTTTAGGGACCGCTGAATTTCAAGTACAACCAGCAAATAAACATAACTAACCTAAAGACATAATGTTGTCATGAAGCATCTAGAACATTATATGGTTCTGGACCATCTACTTGCAGAAATACATTAATTATCCCTAGAACACTGGCTATTCTAGAATGTTTTGTACATAAGACTCAAGAATTTCCAATTCCTTCTACAAAGGAAGAAATAATTCCTTTTCCATTCTGCAGAACTTTTCTCCAATCAGCCTTTTTTATATAAATGGCCATTAGATCTCTAGATAGATACAGGAGCATTATAAGTTTGATAGGAATTTATCAATTTATCAAAGATAAAAAAACATGTCAGTGCTAGACAACTATTTGCTTACCAAGTCGAAGACATTGCCTTAAAATTCCACCAGATGACATATTTTTCTCTGACTCAATTTCAGTAAATCCAAGGGAACTTGCAAAGATCAATACATCCACAAGGCTAATTAATCTTTGAAGGAATGCTATGGAAGCTTCCACTGATAATCCTTGAGTTGGCTCAATGCTTTCCAATTCATGCTGGGAAATGGAAAATATTTATTTATTTTTATATGCTTTCCTAAATTACCCTAGTCCAATGTCACTATGGTTGTTTATCAGGTAGATCTCACTTAGCATCTGCCTCAGGCAGCAAGTATTTGAAGTTACAACAATAGCGAAACAGGGGTACCAAGCTACTAAATGCTCTAATCAGGAATCCTTTACACTAGATGGTGCTAGTATATTCCTTTCAATGCATATTCCCCATTGTGTGCTTCCTTACTTTCTTGTAATCCTTTCCTCTCCAATGAATATAAACACAAACATTAATTCCCTTTTTGCTAGTTATCCCAGTACTATGGTAAGCAGTGGGGAAAGGGGGAAGGTACAATAAAATTGTAAGCAGTCACAATCACATTATTTTCCACAGTTGCTATGTCATTTAGCAACCAAGTTACTGGTCCCAATTCTGGTTGCTAAATGAGGACTAGCTGTATACATGGAATTGACGTTTGAATTTATTTGTCCAACAATCTAGGTGTTATAGTTCCAGCTAATGAAACACTTCAAAGAACTTCCAGGCATTGATTTTCCTAAAAGTAATTTATTGTTACAAAATGTCGGCACAGGCATAACGGAAAGTTGATGCTAGGATCTGAAATTCTCTTCCTCTGAGCAGTTAAGTTATCAGCATGTTCCCTCCCTAAATTAGCTGTCATATATCACGTTATCCAATTAGTGTGAAGGTCAAAGGTTTCCTTCCTCTTTCTTTCCCGGGCTTTTCCCCCCACCCTCTTCTGCTCTGCATTAACCCTAAAAATACCAGACAGTTCTGCATATTGTTAAAGCAAGAATATACAGTATTTGTAGCGTTGACACTAGGAAATAATGACAATATGAATAATAAACAATGGTTCCAATTACTGTTGGAACAGGATGATCTCTATTTTCCCATTCTAAGATTTTTTTTTTATCAACTGCATGCTGAAGGAATTGACCTTGTGGGCTGAAATAGAGTAACTGATCTAAAGTCACCTAGCCAGCTTTCCTGCTATATTCTCTTGGTTCTAGCTATGTGCCTTAACCACTAGACCAAATAATATAAATAATTTATATTGTTTATAAATAATATAAAAGAGAACTGTTTCAGAATTGGTTCGATGAAGAAACAAGTATAACTTTAAATGAATTTGACTGCCTAGGTACCATAACAAACAAACATTAAATTACTACAGAGAAAAATCTGAAATAGAAATAAAATGGACAAATATTTCAGCAAAATTGTAAAAAATACATAAACCAGAATGTGATTGTAGTTTCCAAAAATTAGTAGTCTAGTGAACAATGATGGACACAACAGCACAGAAAATCTTGTTCCCTTTGCCCTTTTCTGGATACAAAAGTTACTTCCAAAACCCTCTGTAATTCCTAAAGTGACTGCCTATTCCCCAGAAAGGAAATTTATGACAGCACATCACACATTATTGTTTTGAGCTGACAGTCATGGTGCCCTGTTATATATAGGCTAAGGAACTGCATCAAAGTCATGGTGTCCCTATGGGACTTTTGAGAATAAGGGAAAGGGATAACATATGAGAGTGAAGGTGCATGAATAAATGCATATGTTATTCCTTAACTGGCAATCTGGTTCAAAAAATTGTGAATCATGCCTTAAACTAATTATGAAATGTTCCAAATTATTTTATTCTATGGTAGACTTCATCAGCAAAGCAAAAATTGCATTTATGATAAACTTTTAACAGCAAAAAGATTAGAAGTGCTGAAAACACAAAACAGGCTACCACTCCAATCTGGTATCCCCTTCAAAAATTGTTTCCTGGACTTGGAAGAAGCTATAAGCACAGATGATAAATTGATGTGTCATAAACATATACAAATGGCAGTGCTTCAATCACATGGTTGCAACTGTCATCTTACCCTTTTGCCCTCCTTACATATGCCTCTGGATGATACTATAGAACATGATCACATTTGGGCAAGAAGGGGAAAGAAACAGACTGATTCCAAGTACCTCATCTTTAATAGACTTAGATTGGATCTGAGAGAATGCTTTCATTTATCCTTTTTCACTCAATGAAAAGAAAGGCAAAATGAAGTCAATGTCACATAATTCAGTTTTTTAGTGTTGGCACACAGAACAACCCCCCCCAGCAGAGCCATAAGCAAGCATACTTGAGCATAGTTTTAGTTTAGTATAATCCAATGCACAAAAACACAAAGCATCACTTATGTATTGGAAATTGGATTTCTTACCGTAGCAGATGTAGCAGCTGAAAGCAAAGGTAATATGCCACCACAAGCCATAATCATATTGTCCATCACTTGAGAGACAAGATGAATCGTGTTATGTACAAAGATGACATTATCACTGCTGTTCACGAAGTCCATCACAGTCTTGGTAGAATGACTGCTCCAAAATAAAATATACAGGATATATGTATTTTCTCTTGCAATGTTACAAAGTACTTATTTATTGAAATACTATTTACTTACATCAATCAGAAATTTCTCCTGCAGCCAAGAATCACACATCAGCATTCTAAGTTACCAATGCATCCTCATCTTAACTTGAAAATGCCCTCTCCTTATCTTTCTAATTTTCTCTAGAACATAGAACTCCAGAAACTATGTTTAAGTATGTGGTGAATATTTATTATTAGGAACCCCAATTATTTAAAGTCTGCAAAAGACACTGAATAAATTATCAGAACAAGTTTCCCTTGGGGGTCACTTAGACAGTGAACTGGGTGGTGTTTAAATTTGGTAAAATAAATTAATAAAGTGGATCTGAACTCATTCCTCCTAAGAGGAAACCAGTAACTTATAATGATATTGCACACTTCACTTTCTAAGCAATAAGAGTTATAAAAATAGAAAGCATAAAGAAATTTAATTCCTGTTACAACAAATAAATGCAATAAATTCCTTCTGTTTCACCAAAGTATTCACTGCATGTGATTTAATACATTTTCATTTCGGTCAATCAATAGACTAAAACTGATTTAAATTGGGTATCCCAAAGGTACTTTTTTCAAAAGGCAATTGTACTTTGTATTTCCCTGAAGATCATTTCTTATCCAAGAAGTTCCTTCAGTTATGAGTGTTCATCACAATTCACTCAGAACTGAAGAAGCTTCTTCGCTGAGAAGCAAAATTTCTTCAAGAAAAACAAAGTCCAATTGCCTTTTGGAAAAGCACCTTTGGAACAACCATGACCAGGATGACTGAGAATCTCCATAGACATGATAAGGAGGGTAAGTTTAGACTGGACAGTTAGACAATAGTCCTTTTTATTCATCTATATCAGACATGTCAAACTCGCGACGTCACGTGACGTCACCCAAAATATCGGGCCGGTTTTGCCATTGCCGGCAATGGGGTGGGCGCGGCTTCAGTATGATGAAACTGGCCCATGGGCCAGCAGTTTGGCACCCCTGATCTATATAATCTCACAAAATCATTTTCTAATGAGGGTGAAGGTTCGTTCTCCGAGTTTGTGGGTTGGTTTCCGAATGTTTCATTACCAGGCTAGGTAACATCTTCAGTGGCATTTGAAGATGTTACCTAGCTGGTAATGAAACATTCGGAAACCAACTCAGAGAATGAACCTTCACCCTCATCCTAAGCCCAAGCTACATATATTCATCATTTTCCAATATTTGATTCTTTTTTTAAATAACGCCCTAATGCACAAGGGGATGTCTTGCGCAAAGCAACTTCTTTTCAGTAATTCTGGATGTTGCTGAACCTCATTTTAAAAAAGGAATCATAGTGTTTCAGTAAAATAGAACAAGTTTGAAAGGGAAAAAAGCAGCTTACAAAGTCTGGTTTTGAAGAAGCATTATTTTCCTGTTCAAATAAAATAAAACCACAAGGGAAAAATGTATAGAAAGAGTATATTTTTAATGCAATGCAATTCTTGATTCTGAACAATCTTTGTATTATTATATGAAAACATTATTCAATCAAGCATTTCAGAAGATGCTAATACAACTTGGTCACGAAAGGCTCCAATTCAACTTTGAGAACTCAGTAATATATTACAATTCATCCATTTAAAAATATAATTCATTTTTTTTCTAATTAGGATACAATTTTACAGATTTTGCTTATACTATGTAAACTGTCTAAGATTTCATAGACATCACCTTCTCCACATCTGTACATCTGTTTCTATTGAAAAGAGGAGATCTGTAAGCAAGCGTTGATGCATTTGAGACCATCGGAATTCAGGAATACGGAACATGGTAGATCTAGAATCCTTCCTCTGTCCATCTGCAGGAGTTACTACATTTTGATCTGATGAATCATACTGCCTAGATGTCTTTGTAAACAATATATATTGAGAGATATAAGTCAAGCTGAAGATCACACTGAAAATTTCATCTGAGCCTTAGCAGATATCTAATTCCAGGAAAAGCAGATATCTAATTCCAGGAAAAGCTGTTCATATTCTAGAAGGTATGATATAGTTAATACTAATTTTATAAAGTCATACTTATTTGAGGACTGTGCTTAAATAGTTAAAAATCATATCAAGTCTATATACTACTTAGCAACTATGCCACCATCTCTGCCAGCCAAGACAAGAATAAGCAGCAGCTAGACCTTACCACATAGGGTGCATATATTGCTGCTGCTTGTGATTTTCCTCCTTTGAGGAACTGTGATGTAACTTGATGATTATCCTTTGGAAGGTATTTCTGCAAGAGGGAAGCACTTAGGAACATCACTTTAATTAGGAATAATGCATAAGTGATGCAAATCTTGCATACATTCTAGTTTTAAATTATTAAAACATTTTTATACAGAAAATTATGTGACATTTTAATCTCAGCTTTATAATATTTGCAGTTAAAACATCTAACCTATCTAGGTCACTTTACAAATCTGTAAGCATTCTTAATTATAACTGCTATAAAAAGTTAGCTAAGTAGACAGAATTCTCTCTCTCTCTCTCTCTCTCTCTCACACACACACACACACACACACACAAACATACATACAATCATGCCATCTGGTAAATATTTTTAACTTACTTAAGAAGATAGTAGTGCAAAACCTACCTCAGTAATGGCTCTAGGAGGTTGATTTACTTCTGGATTTGCATGGGGTTTTAATTCTAATCTTTCAGTATCTGATGCAATGCTGGAAACATCAAGTCTGGCAATTTTCTTATCTAAAGCAATTATAGCTTCTGAAGTCTGTGGTTGTGTGCTATCTACAACTGTCTTGGTTTGGGGTTGATTAGTATTTTTGTCATCAATGTTATTCTCATTGTCTGAAGTTGACTGAGCTCTGTTTATTTCAGGACAACTGATTTCTGGCAAGCCATCCTGCTGTTCTGTTTCCACTGATCCTTCAACAGTTTCAGGAACTGCTTCTATTGAAACAGGTTCTTTTGAAGAAGCAGTGCACTGCTGTATAACTGAGGTTACCTGGCTATCGCACAAATCATGACCCTCAATGGGTTTTGGAACACATTGTTCTGATTTAAGTGCCAGATTAGTCTCGTCTTTTAAATCAACAAAATCTTCATCCTCCTCCACATATACTTCTGGTGTTACATTTTCTAACATTTCTGGACTTTCTAGTGTTTCAACATTTTCTAAAGATGATTGTGAATCGGTGGTACATATTTCTTTTTCTTCATGGTTTATTCCAGTAATTTCAGCAGTACAGTCTGAGCTCTGTTTTGTAATTTTGGCTTGTAGGGGAAGATCTAAACTAGGTGCTCCATTTAAATCAAGAGGTCTCTGAATATTTTCTGTTTTGGTTTTTTCTTTCTTTGTTTCTGAATTACTGGGTTCTTCAAAATCAGATAATCTACTTTCATCTTTCAAAACACTATTGTTCATGCTTCTGTTGTCAGTATCAACTGAAGAAGTGTCAGCTTCTTTTTTTTCCAGATGATGGAGCTTCTCTGTAACTTCAGCTTCTTTACTAATACCGGAAATTGTTCTAATAATGGATGATGGACCAGCAGTGCAGCATTCGTCTCCTTTCTCTTCATATTCCCTGAACATCCGAGAAAGGTTCTGTTTATGTATTTCAAAAGTTACCTTTTAAAAACAGAACAGTTGGAAATGTTTTAATTTTAAAATATTTAATGTTTATGTCTTTCTACATTTCCCCAGTAATATAAGTTTACAGAGTAATTGTAAACGTATGTAACTATCACAATATCCATATAAACCAGTTAGATAGCAATTAATATAAGTTGGTCTGGTTTTAATGGAGTGAGTTTATGGGTTTCATGGATACAGTATTTGCAAGCTACCACAAGTGATAGAATAAAAATATAGAATATATTTATATAAATAAACCCATATCACTGTGTAGACTGAACACTTAAGTATTATTTTTATATAGATAAGAGTCACCTCAAAATAAATCAATGTTCAATTCTAGAAGCACTTGGGCTGGAAAAAGCCATATATCATGCCTTAGCCAGTCACATTTCCACACCTACTTATGAGCATCCTGTACTATATTCCTTTTATGTATTTATTGTAGGGCAACAAGTTTTAATATTAATCCATTTGTTTAGTTCCAACTGGATCTTTCCTTAAAGTGAAATTGAGATTATTTCCTGGTCCAGGCATTGCCTATATGGTTGGTGGTACTTTATGGGGTTGTTAACAGCTGCAATATCATTAATTGGATTTTTATTATGCAGCAAAGAAAAGAAAAGAAGAGGAAGAGGTTGAGGTTGAGGTAAATATGACTCAGAGGAACTATATCTTGGCACTAGAGGCATAGCACCACAAGGCCTCTTGCTGCTGCTGACGTTTCATCTATGGATACTGAGCACCTAGTCTGCAAACACATTGTACTGAAATACCAAAACTAAAGAGACAGAAAAACATCAAATTGTGCTGGCAGCACAACCAACCTTGCAATCAAGAGCTGATTAGCCCCATCACAGTTCAAAGAGAGATCCAAATGTATAGTATACATATTCTACATACATATAATTTCAAATATACAATTTCTATCTGAGAAAAATTAGACATTAGGAACTACATCTATGATAGGCTGGGCCTATATAAATTATCATGCCAAAAACATTTATGCCTTCCTACTAAATTCAAGCCTTTATCCATGCCTGACAATATCTTTTAAAAACAGAGTTAAAATCATTTTAATTTGTAAATCTTCATGTCTATACAAATTTTCTGTACATTGTGTTCTTACCACATAATCATGATCATTAGTTCATGCTCTGAACTAAGTTTTTACCTATCAAGGTCACCATGGATACCTTTGCCAATGTCAACCTTTGACTGTTAATTTCTTTGTGAACAGGACAATTTTGAAATGATAAAAAATTATGAGAAGCAAATTTCTGCCTTTTCATTGGGAATTAGAATGTATACTATTTTCTAAGAAAGGTTTCCAGGCATGTCATATAATGGAGTATTTTTATACTTGGGATATTTAACATATATCTATCATACTTATTTTATATATAATTTAAACTTCCACACTGCTATAACAATTCATTTAACAAGTTTTGGTCAAAGAGCGTGAAATTCATCAACAGGAAATGATCAAAAAGGCATTTACTGAATTTTATTCGCATTTGTATTCATCAGAAATTATAAATAGTAAAGATATTGATAAATACTTACAATCCTCACCTATATATAAACTTACACCGGAACAGCAAAAAATCATGGACGATGAGATTACAACAGATGAAATTTTAAATGCAATTAAACAATTGAAAGTTGGCAAAGCTCCTGGGACGGATGGTTTAACAGCAATTTATTATAAGTCTTTGTCAGCTACATTGTTACAACCTTTAAAAACTTTATTTAATAGAATTATGTTGGGAGAACAAATACCTCAGTCATGGACAAGAGCTTTTATATCTTTGATACCGAAAGATGATAAAGAAATCTTGGAACTCAAGGATTATAGACCCATCTCCTTGTTGAATGTGGATTATAAAATTTTTGCAAAAATTTTGGCTAATAGACTGATGCAGATACTGCAACATTATATACATGATGATCAAACTGGTTTCATATCTGGGAGATACATGAAGAATAACATTAGGCAAATTGTAAATTTATTGGAATACTTGGATAAGAATAATCAAATACCTTCGGCCTTTATTTTTCTTGATGCGGAGAAGGCCTTCGATAAATTGGAATGGCAGTTTTTAAATAAAGTGTTGGACTATATGAACTTTGGAGATCAATTTAAAATAGCAATAAAGGCGATATATCAAAAACAGACTGCTCAGATAATTATAAATGGAGATTTGACAGAGCCTATAGAGATACAAAAAGGTACTAGACAAGGCTGTCCACTCTCCCCTTTATTATTTGTATTGTCGCTGGAAATTTTATTATCTAGAATTAGAGATTCTACACTGATTAAAGGTCTAAGAATTTCTTCTAAAGAGTATAAACTTAAAGCCTTTGCAGATGACCTGGTTTTTACATTGTCTCAACCAACTGAGTCATTGGAAACTTTGTTGCAAGTGTTGCATCAATATGGCAAGGTGGCTGGATTTAGAACTAATGTCCAAAAGACTAAAATTCTTACAAAGAATATGACTGTTAAAGATAAAAAACAACTTATGCAACTATCAGGCTTTGAAGTGGTTAGTAAAGTCAAATATTTGGGAATTTTTTTATCCTCCTCTAACATGAAACTTTACCAGAATAATTATGAAAAATTGTGGAAATCAGTACAAAAAGACTTATCAATGTGGAAAAAACTTCATTTTTCCTTGCTGGGTCGTATTGCGGCCATTAAAATGAACATTTTACCTAAGTTTCTTTTCCTGTTTCAGATGATACCTATTTTGAAAAATGAACTTAACTTGAAAGAATGGCAGAGAGACTTGAATCGCTTTATTTGGGAAGGCAAGAAAGCTCGTGTTAAATTCAAGATTATTCAAGATGTTAGAGAACGTGGAGGACTTAAAGCTCCAAATTTGACACTCTACTATGACTCTTGTG